TCTTGCAAAAGGAAAAAAGAACTGTACCTTTTGAAGAAGGTACATGACAACAGTAATCTAAAGCAATATCATATAGTAAGATCCTGACTAAGGTGATTAATGAGGTAAAAAGACTCAGCTATAATGATAAAATTACCAACTCCAGTAATGCTATTAAAACTACTTGGAATATTATTAAAGTGGAGTTAGGTAAAAACTGGCTGTAGGACAAAACATGTAAAACTGAGAAAGTAAATCCAAGTATTTTTAATAATAATTTTTAAATATTGCTGATAATATCACTAAAAAAATTTCTACTCAAATTTCTTTAAATACTGATAATAACATTAATTATAAACATTATCTGAATTTGACAGCTAAGGGCCCCTTTCCCAATATAATATTCAATAAAATAACAACTAAAGAAATTGAAAAAATTATGTCTTCTTTGCATTCAAAAAATTCTTCTGGATATGATGAGATTTTGATGAAGACACTAAAAATTAGTGCCCCATACATTTCTTCCCCTTTATGCTATATATTCAATAAAGCAGTCTTAGCTGGTAAATTCCCCTTACGTATGAAAAACTCGATTGTAACTGCTATATACAAGAAAGGTGATAAGAAGAACTGTGCAAATTATAGACCAATCTCATTGTTAACTTCATTTTCCAAGGTGTTTGAAAAAATAACAGAAGATTATTGACACATGTTCACGTTTATGACATTCTAGCCAATGAAAAATTTGGGTTTCGCCCCAAATTATCCACTGAAACAGCTTCATATAACTTAATACATACAGTTTTAGCAGCTATTAACAATAAGGAAAAAGTAGGTGGAATCTTCTTTGATTTGGAGAAGGCTTTTGACTGTGTAAATCATTAAATACTTCTTTTTTATAAACTTGAATTTTATGGTATAACTGACAATGTATATATGTTATTAAAATCATATCTCCAAAACCAATATCAGAGGGTGGTAATTAAAAATGGACCCTTTGATAAGAGTGAATCAGATTGGGGTCGGGTGAAACATGGTGTTCCCCAGGGATCTGTCCTGGGATCATTACTTTTCCTACTATATATCAATGACCTACCTTTATCTATAAAATATCTGAACATCAGTGTAAACCCCCAAACAATTTTATTTGCGGATGATACTAGCGTAATCGTCAGTAATCAAAACTACTGTACTAGGAAATGACTTGAAGTCAGTCTTCACTAGAGTGGCGAAATGGTTTAAGGTAAATTTACTGTCATTAAACATAACCATCTTCCAGCTGACATTAAGGACTTGGCATGTGATATTAAAAGCTTTAAAAAAGCATTAAATAGTATTTGCATGACCATTCTTTTTATACTGTGGCTGAATTTTTTATGCATAAAACTAGATAAGTATTTTTGATTGTAATAGTAACATCATTGTGTCAGTATTTACAGTGTTCTGTTCTATTAATTTTTTTATGCATAAAACTGAATGTATTTCTGATGGTAATAGCAACATTATATTATCAGTATTTACAATGTTTTGTTATTTTTATATTTTAAACAAAATCTTTTAATGGTTGCATGGCTTATTTATGTATTTATTTATCATTATTTCTTAATATTACCAGTATGGACCAACAGAATAAATTAAAAAAATAATTAATTAAACAAATGACACCACTACACACATTCCCCTCATTCATGACATCTTCCCCTTACAGTTCGACAAGTTGGCAACGGATTTCGGCAGGGTGAATGTTTTTTGCTCTCAAAAAGTTGAAGCATTGAATGGACTTTTAGTGATTGACATGGTTCCTTATAAAGTACTCTGACACAGCAACGAGTTCACTCAATGGCTGGGCAAATACTGGAGACATGGCAGAGGGTCTGAGAACAGCTCTTGATCTTAAAGACCTCTGGTCAATGACCTGTGTGTGCAAGGTGTGCAGACGGTTCTTACTACATATTTGACAACTGTGATGGATTGAAAATTTTACAGAAAAATGGAACAGTTGTTTCTTTAAAGTTCATTAGTTAACAACGCTGTTAGTATTGTGACTTATAAAACTGGTTTTGGGTTTAGTGATCAAATTTATTGGACCTTTAGACAACTTGTTGCAACATTCCACAAATCACTATCTTTGGCTGGACACTCTCAACTTCTAACCACACTATGCTAATCCACTACTCTCTGTATTCTGTCCAAGTCACATTGCGACTGACGGTCGGTCAGTCTTGGTGTCAAGCCTCGTCTGGGGCTCATGACCAAATATTTATTAGTGTTGAATGTTACGGTTTTGTTTTTTGTGGAGCGCCCTCTCTGACGAGAGGGCATATATGTCTTTTTTACAGCTACTGGCCCTTGCCAGCGCAGTCTTTCTCAGATCTGAGTCCCTTGGGACTCGCAACTGTATTTTGCTGTCTCAGGTTTGGGACTTCCCTTTTTGTCGCCTCCTACAACTTGCAGGGTCACGGTGTGGGCATTCGACCCCACCTCCACATGGGACTCTGTATTCTCAGGTCAAAGTCAAAATCACATTGCAACTGACGGTCGGTCAATCTGTCTGTCTAGATGTTTCTTCTTATATGAAAGTTACTGTCCTGTCCATTTGGGGCGCCCTCTCTGACGAGAGGTCAGGTCTGTCATTTGTCAGTCATAGCCTGTATTAGTAAGTCCATTGTCAGTATACATATATTTACAAATTTAATCTTACTTTCTACTTCTATTTACAATATATACAAGGCCTCTGTCAATACAGGCTCAGTAGAGCAGATTATGCCCTATTTCTATCAGTATTCACTACCACAGCTTCTAGCCAGCCCAGGTTATATAGCCTCAAGTCGGACCTCATGGAAAATATGTCCATGGTTTATGCTGGTTTATCAGTGTAACAGGACGCTAAAATATAACATTGAAAAAATGTCCGTTGCCTAGCAGTGGACGTATACTGTTGTCGCATATTGTTGTAGGCATTACCTAGCAATGGGCCGGTTACCAAGAATCTGTCTCTGCAGGAAGATGTTTATCTATAAGTGACAGCATTGACAGTGTCTAGTGTTGATGATATGATGAGTAATGATTGTGGAGCAGTTGATGGAATGAAAAGTGGAATGGGAGTACTCTGAGAAAACCCACTCCAATGCCACTTCATCCACCATAAATCCCCCATGACCTGACCTTGGGTCAAACCTCGGTTACTACAGTGGGAACCTGACAACCAACCATCTGAGCTGTGGCAAAGCAGGACTGGTTTTTTATATGTGATCAGGGTGTACTGGGAGTTTTGTCTCAAGCCTCTAGGGAATGTTCCACGGGTTTATTTGAGCCAAAATTCTCAAGTATATCATTGTCTGAAAATTAACTGTTATGAATATACAGGCAGAAGTTTTTAAGAAAGTGACTTGCTTTGTCATGTGGAATAAAGAACCTTTACACTCTGCACTGTGCAGGTTAGTGCTTGCTGCTAACCAGCTTCTAGTTTGTTCAAGTTGATACCTCATAGAGCGTGGTTGTGTTTGTTCAGTGATGTCATATCACTCATTGTCAGAACTAATGTGAAGTGCTGTCACAAAAATGCCTTTCACTCCTTTACACTGTGAATATGGGTGGCATTTATGAATTTTGTGGTGTCAGTGCATGCATTGTTCCTGGAGAATACTGAAAATCTCTTACCACTCAAGGGGCTTAGGTGGGAAAGTATTTACTAATGCTCATCGAACATTGTGCGAGACTGGTTTGGTTCTGTGTGTTTCTGTACCATCTGAAAGTAAAATTTTGCCTAATATGAAAATGAAAGAAAGCAGTTTGAGACACCATAATGTAGCACAGTCCACAATTTGGTGTGTGTAGAATTGCCAGTGGCATTAATGTACGCACATGAGTGTGGTGAACACTGAATGAAGTTGATTGGTATACAAATCAACCACAGGAATAAACATTTGCGACATGGAGGCCGTGTTGCATGTATGGATTTGTATCACTGGCTCACAGAACATCCACAATTGATATGTGTAATTTTATTCAGGAATGAAATTTTGTTTGTGTGGGATTGTGTAAATAGTATGGAAAATATTTGTATGTGGTCAGCTGTACATCCACATATGGTGTGAAAATGTTACTTCCAGACAAGATTATCAGTGAAAATGTGCTGCTGTTTTTTGTTCAGCACTATGTTAACTGATTTGTTAATCTTCAATCACAATCTGACAGAAAGCATTTATTATGGAATATTTTTGAGATATGAATTGCCAGGTCTGTTAAAAGATGTCCTGTTGATGATATGTGTGCTGTACTATTAGCATGATGAAGGTCCCTGCACTGTGCTCAAAACGTGGGGGAGTATTTACATGAATGTTTTCGAGATCACTGGATTGGTTGTGGTGGACCCTAGACATGACCATCAAGGTCGCCAAACTTTATCTCTGCTGAATACTTTCTTTCGGGGTCATATGAAGAGCTTTGTATATGAAACAACAAGACCTGCATTGCTTTGTCATATTTTTGCAGTAGCAATCACCATGAGGCCCTTGCTGCAACTCCCATTCACTACTAATGTGTGTAGACTCAAGGAAGAAATTTTTAACGATTACAGTGATTTTGTTTTGTATACTTAATGGTTGATTAATTAATCAACATGTAATAACTCACTTTCTTTAAACTTCTTCTGTCCCTATCTCTGTAACAGTTATATGTTCGACAGTGGTATGTTTGACTGTTTTGACTCAAATCAACCCAAGGAGCACTCCCTAGAAGTTTGGCAGGAACCTCCTTGTACACCCGTGTGTGTGTGCGCGCGCGTGCAAGTGCAATATATACACATACATACATGTATTTTAATTTTCAATTATATATGGCCTCTTTATTCAGATTGAATGCTTTGAGGACCTCATGGGTGCCAAGGGGCTTTTTCTGTAACTTAACATAATGATTTATACTGCATTCTGTTTCATGTACTTGTTTCTTTGAATAATTGAAGTTTGCCTTATTTCCATTAAATTAATAATGCACATTATTGTTTTTCTTATGCTCTGCAGTAATATGAAGTACTCACCAAAGTTGATCCAAGCCAAAACGAGGCGACGGAATACAATGGACAGCTTATATTTCACTGAACTTATGGAAAGATCAGAAAATAACACACAGCAGGAAACTGGTGAGCATCATACTTATATGGAGCAAGGAATATGGTGCTTTTAAAAAATATTGGTATATACAATATGTGTAAGACATAGTGGAACATATTGTAATGCGTTTAGTTACTGAAACTTGTTGGTAACGTGTGTAAGTCCAATCCCACTTCTGACACCAGTGGAACGTGTTTAGTTACTGAAGACGCCGTTCAGATTGTTAATTGGTTTATTTAACAACCTACAAGTCGTAACTACAATTGATTATAACACTGTTGTGGGGTTTCACACTTTATAACCCTATTCACAATAATCTGTTCACTCTATCTTCAGTAGTCTACACGTATTCACAGTGCCAGGGGGGGGGTCGCTGACTCACCTGCTACGTCACTGTGGCCAGAGCTGCCACACCACTGCTGGGGAGGGAGGGGGTGTCCTCCATTGCACAACACATCACACTGCTCCCTCCTTAAGGCTGTTCGTCCCGAATAGCCTAACGGTGCATCCCCATTCCTTTGCTTTGGAGGCTGTTCTTGCAGCATCTGTTCTCCGGCCGTTACAAGATTCGAACTCAAGACACGTTACACTGGTATCAGAAGTGGGATTGGACTTACACACGTGACCAACAAGATTCGAACTCAAGACACGTTACGTTTGGTGTCATAATTGTTTACGAACTTAATCACGCCTCGACAAATAATTGAATTATTGTGCATTGAGTATTTTACTGCAAGAAAATGGAGATGCAGCAGATGATGGAAATGCTGGCAAGAATGGATGCCAACATGAGATCCAACCGAGCTAAGACGGAAGCCAACCATAAGGATTTCCTGGCAAAATTAGACGCCGATAGGAAAGCTGACAAAGAGGATATGCCGAAAGAAATGAGGGCAATCCAAGTAAAAGCAAATGCCAACCGAGTGCAGATGCAAGACAAAATGGAGGCCAATAGAAAAAAGACAGAGAAGATTTCCTGGCCAAATTGGATCCTGATAGACAGGCCAATATGAAGGCATGGCGAGAAGAGATGGCCGCCATGAGAGACAAAAGGGTGAATGCCAACCACAACGAGACTATGGCCTGCCAAGAGATGGAGGCACTGGATGTGAAACCTGAGGTGGCCGACCAATGAGAGGTACCCATAGAAGACACCGAAGTAATGCTGGTTGGAGAACCGAAGAAGAAAAGGCGTAGGGACCGACATCAGTGAAACATGAAGAATCCGACACAAGGAAGTTGTGGACCCCAGAAGGAGTTGGCCGTAGCCCGCAGAGGGACGAGTTGCCGCGTTGAAGTGGCAAGGCAGAAGAAAACCAGCAGGAAGGTGTCCTGCCATGCAACAGCGACATGGCGTCAGAGGAACATATTCTGGAAATCTTGGACTTGAGGAGATTATGAATCCCAGATGAAGTTGGCTGCCACCTGCAGGAAGATATCCTGTTGTGTGACAGTGGCACGATGGAGAAATGCCTTCAAGAAGGAAACTCCCCAGGGAACCTTCAGATGCTGGAGAAAGGACTTGGTGCCACGGTCTCGTGCCAGCAAGTGGCGGGAAGACCATGAGGAATGACGACGTCAGCAAGTGCAAACAACGCATCAAGTGCTGTTATGTCAACATAAAGAACTTCTCAGGGAAGACATAAACAAGGATTGGACACTGTGGAGGGGTCGACCCTCTCCAAAACGAAAAAAGGGAAAGAGCCCGTATGGGAGGAACTGGTAGTAGGAGCACCGGCCTCCCTAGCAAGAATGAATGAAGACTGAATGAGCGATGAATGAATTTAATAGAACTGGATCTTCTAGGCGAGTTAAAAGGAAACCGCTCGAGACGAGCTGGTTTTAAGAGGAGAGCGGTTGTAACGGCCAGAGAACAGATGCTGCAAGAACAGCCTCCAAAGCAAAGGAACGGGGATGCACAGTTAGGCTATTCGGGACGAACAGCCTTAAGGAGGAAGCAGTGTTACGTGTTGCGCAATGGAGGACACCCCCTCCCTCCCAAGAGGTGGCATGGCAGCTCTGGTCATGGTGACGTAGCAGGTGAGTCAGCGCTCCNNNGGCAGCTCTGGGTGACGGAGCAGGTGAGTCAGCGCCCCCCCCCCCCCCGTACTGTGAATACGTGTAGACTACTGAAGATAGAGTGAACAAATTATTGCAAATAGGGTTATAAACTGTGAAACCCCGCAACAGAGTGAAGAGATTATTGCGAATAAGGTTATAAAGTGTGAAACCCCGCAACAGAGTGAAGAGATTATTGCGAATAGGGTTATAAAGTGTGAAACCCCGCAACAGTGTGAAGAGATTATTGCGAATACGGTTATAAAGTGTGAAACCCCGCAACAGTGTTATAATCAATTGTGGTTACGACTTGCAGGTTGTTAAATAAACCAATTAACAATCTGAACGGCGTCTTCAGTAATTAAACACGTTACAATATGTCAAGGTGCAAGCTCTCAGGAGAGAGATGAACATCAGAGATTTTGTTTTGAGAGTTGACAGTAGATTCAGTAGTAATCTCTGTTTGTGAATAATACATGGTTGAGTTCCTGAGTCATTATTCTTCCTGTCATAATCGTACGAAATTGATGTCACAGTGTCAGGAGGAAGGAGTTCTGTGACATTCTTCTGGTTAGCAAAAATGAAATGTGGTTTTCATGCTTAGGCAGTTTTCCTTATGACGGTTTTTTTAGCCAGTATTGTGCCTCACTTAATTTTGTTAAGTTAGGAAGTTGTGAACACAGCAATGAACCTTCATATCACTTACGAGGTGGGGAATTTTTGGACCAGCTGCTTTACCGTTTGTGTCTCAAAAAGAGCTCTGCTTAATTATTATTTTTGTACATTGCATGGTGGGATTGATAATTTTCAGTTTTACTTATTAGATTTATTCAATTTTCCTATTCAGAATTGTCTAAAACAAGATTCTATATTGCCGTTGCTTTTCAAATTTGTATTAGAGTATCCCATTGGGAAGGTCAACAAAATCTGCGCAGCTGGCAACTTGCTTAATTCCCTGGAATTATGTTGTTTTTTGAATAAGTATTTTGGCAAAATTTGGTATCGGAGTTCACATCAAGAGTGACAGTTTCGGTATACTGTATGTCAGTAAATTAAAAATGCATAATTGGTGAAGTCCAGATTGAATGCATTCATTTCCCTAAAACCTGCTCATCATATAAAATCTTGGTGAAATTCATGAAGATCCACAGTTCTTATTTGAAATTCTGAAATATAGTGAAATACAAGGAAAAATAATTTCTCTCCACATTAGGGTATTGAGGAGTCAGAATAGCTCAGTCAATATAACAACAAGCTGTGGGCTGGATGGTCTGGGTTCGATTCCTGGCAGTGCAAGTTTTTTCTCTTTTCAGCATCTAGAGAAACTGTGGGGCCCACCCACCCTCTGATCCATTGGATTCTGGGGGCTCTTCCCCCAGCTGTAAAGTGGCATGGGTGTGAAGCTGATCACTCACCTCCATCTAGTGCTGAGGTCAAGAAAGATGGAACTATATCTCCACTCCTTCACATGTCCTCATGGCATAGTGCTTAACTAATTAAGCACAGGGACAGTGTGAAGTTCGAGGTTCTTATGGCGGTGACCTTGAAGAGTACTGTCTTCTGCTGTGTGATAATGTGTTATCTGGTAGAAGATTACAGATGTTCTTCTGAAACACTAGTAAATTTCTAGCAGACTACACTGCATCACATCCTGGAAGATAGCGCTCATTGAGCGAGAACAACTTTTAACCTTAGAAATGAGGCTGCGCCATAGCTCAAGCGGTTAGTCGTTGGCTTTCCACCACGGCGGCCTGGGGTCGATCCCGGGTTTGGTCAAGTGGGATTTGTGGTGGAAAAAGTGGCGCTGGGGCAATTTTTCTCCAAGTACTTCGGTTTCCCCTGCCAATCTTCATTCCACCAATTGCTCCACGATCACCCTCACCTATCATCTGTGGCTGTTACAATAGGCCAGAAATGGCCGCAGTACAAGGGACTTAGTCCCACCCCACTAGCAATAAAAAAACCTTATATTTGTATTGGCAATAAATGAACGTAAGAGTCAATGAGACATGCACAGTAGCAAGAGTGAGTTTGAAAATAAGTGGACTCAATTGAATTACACCTTCCCATACTTTTTTATTATGTGAGTTTCACATGGAACATTAGTTCCTTCTCTTGTTAAAAGGATCTTTGAGTTTCAGCTTATGTAAATGTAATTTCACAAATTTCAGACCAGCTTTCACGTCCAGAAACAAACAGACGCTGCAAGCGGATAATGCAGTTATTGCGTGGATCAGAGCGAGATCTGAAGCTGGATGTTTCAGACATGGAACATGCTGCATACACTATGGAAAATGGAGGTGAAGACAGAGCTGAGAGCCTGCCTGCCGTGCCTCCACAACCAGCCATAAAGGTAATAACATTATTTTGATGAGCAGTGTATATTGTCACATGTTAGTGACTAGACATGGGGTTTGGATTGCTAATTGAATTTATAGAGCACATTTAATTTGTAACTACAAAGAACTGTAACAGTTTTACTGATTCACACACACTACAGATTGCTACAGCTACAGCACACATGAAGTTTTGTGTTTGTTCACTAGTTGTTGCTAGGTAGGCTGCTAAGAGCAACTCAAGACTTGACCTTTGACTCATAACTGACTAACCTCGCACATTGGCCCCTGTTATTTAGCCTTGGTATGAGTGATGTAGAAAATGCCGCTCGCAACAGTTCCTCTATTGTTGTGTGTTTATTTGTTGTCATGAAAACATGCTTACCATGCCAAGGCCTAGGAATGGATGCCTATTGTTCCACTGTTCTGGCTTTCAGCCTTCATGCCACAATATATTCAAATCCCTTCTTGGAATTTCAAAAGCGAATGATGTGCTGAAGTCATTTTATGGTATATTTTATGACGTCGTTCAGTATACAGTGTTGACTTATAGGATGGTTGGTGAATAGTGAATTGGAAAAATATTGATGGAAGTGATCTTGGTCTAATTGAGGTACTACTCTGTCATTTTCTTGGAGGGACTGAGAAAAACCATAGAAAATTCCAGTCAGGTTAGCCAGTGTCACAGCTGAGATTCTAACCAAGCACCTCCTGAATGAAAGCCTAGAGCATTGTTAAGTGACAAAATATGAAGTATCATAGTAAACGGTCTTTGTCATAGCTGAGCCTGCTGGTTTCTACTTGACTTTCTCTTCAACTCTAAAGCTGGAGATAGTATTGTGACATGATGACAGTATAGTTTAACAAGAGAAGCCATCCACTGCTACACCATGGCTGGTAAACTACACATGACAGCTGATTTGTGCAGTAGCAGACATGCCCATAACACGAGAGGAACTGTTGGGAATGGTGTTTTCTATTGGGTCTGTAGTGAGGCTATATAGTGAGCATGAACTAGACCACTTATTTGGTTGACAGTGTGAGTGGTCTGCCATCATGAGTTCAGTAGTTAGTTGTGAGATGGCAGCCAACCACAAATAATGGAAATAGAGGACACTGTTGGGATCCATTGCAGGGCAACAGCCAGTAAAGGCATAGAAGACATAGCGAGTGCTGTAGTGGGAAGTACAGTGCTCGAGTTAACGAGAGTGCTATAATTACTTGTAGTTATAATTTGTAGGAGTTCAGTAAATTCAGTTACCAATCCAAACCCCATGTCTAGTCACTAAACACATGACAGTATGTTCCTCCAAATTATTGGACTTTCTCCAGACTGTGCAGCATTACAGCACACAAAACCATAGTCTTTGATTGTACTTCTGTACTTCATTGTCTTCTTATACGGTTCTAAATTTAATGTCTGTCTACAAGCAAATTTGAAGGGGTTCATGTAAAACTTCTGTTATCTTTCGTTTTACAATTGGATGCCCTGAAGAGGCTGAAACACTGGATGCAGCAGATGAAACTTCAGAGTTAATTTATTATAAACACTGGCTCAGTAATAATGATCTCTGTATAATCTGTGTTGTTTTTTCTTTAATATTTAATAATTTTATGGCCCTGAAGTATGAAATTATTTCATCCAGAAGTTCTTATTTCAAAGAATTTAATCATGCCATTGTATTCATATGTGTATGTTCATGTAATTAAATCCAGAAGATTAAGTAAGTAGGATATAGTCAGTTGTTTACATTTATCCCAAGTTAAATTTTCCTTGTTTCCACATGTTAACTTTGAAATTGAGTTTGTAGTATTGCTGGAGTAGGTACATGGTACAGTTTTATAACATTTGGTTTTTAATTTCCCATTGTTCCTAGTTACACTTCTTTGTCAGAAATTTTAAAAGATGCCTAATTATATTTCCCATCAGACCAAGACTGTTTACCAGTAGCAGCAGCAGCAGCAGCAATAGCAGTAGCAGTAGCAGTAGCAATAGAGATAAATCTTGCCTCTTCCTGGAATCAGACCCAGGCCATCAAGCCCATAGCCTGTTCCAACACAGACTGAGTAGTAAAGTAAGTAAAGGTATCCTTGTAACAGGCCGTGGAGGCCCATGGGGCTGTGAGATGTTCAGGTTCCCACATTTTCTAGACAATCAGCTCATAGATGGTGGTAAGATTGTCAGCCTTACGTGCCGGCCGCCCTTTACCCCCAAGAATATTCCTGGTACTAATTTCTGTTAGAGGCTGAGTCAACCCCAGGGCCATAGTGAGGCTGGAAGGATTAGGTAAATTGAAAATATCCACCTCATCAGGATCGGATCCTGTGACCTTCTGGCTTGTAACATAGTGCCTCAACCAACTACACTACTGTTTGCCCCAATAATAGTAGTAGCAGTAATGGTAGTTAATCAGTAACATTTTTAATTTGTGTTTTTTATGTTTTCTATAGCATTTATTGGCGATAGACATCTCTGTATTGAGGTGATGTTTTTGTTATGTAGGTGGAGACATGTAATCGATTCTTAAGCCTCACATCAAAACTGGTTGCCTGCAATGTATTGAAAAGCAAAGACCTCAAAGAAAAACCTGTTGACTGTCCAGACAGCCGAGTAGATTTCTACAATGTGTTCTCTAAACTCATCCGCATGGGCAGTAGTGACAAACAAAATGATAAAAATCCAAGAAGACACGTAAGTCAAATTGTGTGCTGTATTATTATTGAAGTATATTTTAAATTAACCGTTCAGCGTGGTTTGACGTGTATGTTTCGTCAGGTATTTAAATCGTCTGCGGGGGTTCGACGTGTATGTTTCGTCCAGCTGCACACCTATGTTATAACGCCCACAATAATTGATGGTTTTGCTGTAGATTGTTAGATTTTTCGCTGGCCTGTTGTCACAAGAACAGAGTATAATAAGCCACGAGTTTAGCTGCGCTAAGTCATCGTTACATATGCCTGTCTTGCAGCAAATTCGTTTTGCTTCTGGTAGAGTTTTCCTTGTTCAATCTGTTATGAATGGCGTGTTTTCTTTGTTATGAAGTTATAAACAGCAGAGACGTGATATGTGCTGTGTTTATAATATCATATTGCCCTGAGCTGGCCACACTAACACACTCAATTGGAATTCTTAGAAGAGGGATGTCCAAAAATTTATTCTTGCAAGATCGATTGATTTCGCACAGTACATAGCACCCAGTTCTTAGAAAAACGTCACGAATTAAGGCAGAACACTGTGGTTACCCCCTATGACGATCCTGGTGTGTGTGGGGGGGGGAAAAGAACTCATTCCTTCATGTACTATCGCTCCAGTTGACGCCATTTTATCGTACTGACCTTGGTGGTCGTTTCGAGGGATGACCATGAATATTTTTTTTGAGCCAGCTAAGCTCTGCTTTCGTGCACTACATACCAGACAGTTCTTAGAATAACTTCATGAATTCTGTGGTCACCCCTACGACATCTCCTGCCGCCAAAATGGATGGAATATCAACGGCATAGCAACAACCCCTTGTTATGATAACTCGCAACGTTGAATTTACTGCAGCTGACCTGGCAAATGAACGGCTCACGGAAAGACATTTCCTTGAACTATACCCCTCACGGGGAAGAAGGCAAGGCTGCACAGAAGATGTGTGGTTAAAAAAAAGAGCCAAAGAAAAGGTACACAATATTGGAGCAGTGACTGTGGGGCAGCGTTGGGTTAGACGAATGCTTCAAGGCCTACATTACACTGCTCAAATTCTAAACCAACTGCTTCCATTGCCGAGATACCGGGCGCTCATATTATAAGGTAAGGTTATAAAAACCATCTTTTAAGATCATTTTAGTGAAAGTTTCATCCTTCAAGGCGTACCATTCACTGCTCAAATACTAAACAACCTGCTTCCATTGCCGAGATACAGGGCGCTCATATTATAAGGTAAGGTTATAAAACCACCTTTTAAGATCATTTTAGTGAAAGTTTCATGTTCCTATCTCATATAATTTAAGAACAATGATGAATAAATCATTTTCGAGCAAAATTTAAATGGACGGCTGAATATATTACTGCTGTAGAGATGGCCGCGGAATTTAAATGACCATGCGAAAGGGTTAAAGTCTTTTGGCTGGGCTGAGGCAAACTCAATGTTTACATTTTGAAACAGTTTTGGATACTTGAATAATTTTCAAAACCCAATGAAGGTATGATGTAAACATTATGAATTACATGGGTCATTTCATAAATAATGCACAGGCTGGCAACACTGCGGATTACATGACGCAACAACGGTGAGCCTCATGTCAGTTACAGTTCAGGGCTTGAGAAAGAAGCGCGTTATATTGTTTCATTTATAATGTACTCTGTTCTTAAATAACGTGAGTTAGAAATGGAGCCAGCACAGTTCTCGGGTATTGTGACTGTTGAAGATCAAAGGTCATACATTAAGATCGAAACTTTACGTGGAAAAAACCCGACAGAAATCCACAGTGCTTGAAGTGAAATTTGTGGTGAGTTAACAGTGGGCCATAGTAGAGTTTCTTGCCGGGCTAGTTGTTTTCGTGGCAGTCGTGTGAGCATAAGCGATGATCGAAGGCCAGGAAGGCTGAAAACATCAACAGATGAACGAAGTGTGAAACTTGTGTCAGATGCTCTTGAAGAAGATCGTCGTGTGACATGTGAGGAGCTTTCGGAGACCACAGGGATTCCACCAACGTTAATATTCCGAATTCTGACAAATGATTTAAAGAAGAGAAAGATTTCTGTGCAATGGGTCCCTCACTGCTTGACTGCTGAACAGAAGCAGAAACGCCTTGACATTGCAACCTTGCAGAAACAAAGATTCTACGTTGAAGGTAAGCATTCTTGTATCGACTTGTCACTATTGATGAAACGTGGGTTAGAGACTTTGAACCAGAGCTGAAATCACAGTCCAACGAGTGGAGGGGTCCATATTCCCCATGACCAAAAAAATGTCGACGATCTCAATCAAAGGTCAAACAAATCATCATCTTTGCTTATGATCACCAAGGACTCATCATGACAGACAGAGTTCCGTGCGGGAATAGTGTCACAGCAGTTTATTATCGTGACTTTATGCAAAATCTGCGCAGAAAAATGCACAAAAACTGACCTCAGTTGCTCAAGGCTGGGCCAATCATTCTCCATGACAGCACTTGCCCCCACATCGGGGATGTCATAACAGGAAAGCTGCACCAATATGATTGGGAGGTGTTACCTCATGGTCCCTACAGCCTGGACATGAGTCCACCAGACTTCGACTTATTCCCAAAGTTGAAACAACCTATGCGAGGCCGTTGTTTTCCCTCCCTGGAAGAGCTTTCTACTGCAGTTACCTGAGCCATTCGACAGATAAACAAAATCGTGTCCTGGATGGAATAGTAAAGCTTCCCACATGTTGGGACTCAGTCATTGAGAAGCAGGGCGACTATATTGAAGGACTGTAAAGAGATATTAAAAAAAAAAAATAAACATGGACGTAAAAAAAAATTGTGTGCATTATTTCTGAAATGACCTATGTATTTTGGAATTTTATTTAGTGTATCTCTTTGTAATTTCAGTTTAAAATTTGCCACTACAATGGAAATAGCCTGAGGACAGTGAGTACTGAAAGAGAAGAATTGAGTGTGATTTAATAGTGTGGCACACCTGGTTGCTCAAAGTTTGCTTCTTCTCTTGCTTGTCACATAAGCATATTTTGGTAATCTTCCCTGGGGCTAAATTTCTTATGTTACACATAAGATGCAGATTATGATATAAGGTGACCAAATAATGGAACTTTTTCCTAATTAAACGTCTTACCCCTTTCAAATGTGACTGTCTGTTTTATTTGTTTAAAGTCCCTCTTTCTTGGCAGACTACATGATCGTGTTTTTAATTCAAGTACTATGTTTTCTTATTTTCTTCCGGAGAAAGTACCTGTGTTGGGAAATGTCTGTCAGATACCTTCAGAACTCAGGGATATGGGTCCATTTTGAACCCCAGAGGTCTTTGTGTAAGAAGAGCAGTTATAGTTACAAAATATTGTAGCAAGCATCTGTTCAAGGCCAGTTAATTGACCCCCTCTGTTGTCACTTCTGAATTGTTTCAGTGAAAGTTAAAGTAAAGTGAGACAGATGTTCTGTCTCTGCAAGAGTGTGACATATCACCATCCGTTTTTTTCTCCACAAAAATAAGAATTCAAATGTATATTAATGAAGAGTGGGGTTTAGTGAAGGTTGAAATAAGGACACTTTTTTATTGAAATGTAAATTTTCTTAATTTTGAATACATTGGTGATATATTTTGTTAAAAGGCTTTGAAAGCTTCAGTCTCCCTGCTCCTTATCACATCTGAGTACTAGAAGTTCAAAATAGAGAAACCTTACATTGCATTGATGTAAGGAATGAGTACATTAGAATGCTCCAGTTATGTCTTTTGTTGTATGTATGGGTACATATTTGGTTAACTTTCAAACTCAAGCCACCCTACACCAAAGGCAATTTGGGCTAGTAAAAATGGCTATTGATTTTTGTAACTGATTGCATGTGCTTTGAATATGATAGCTTTCATAAATTTTTTAATTGTGAACCACAGTATATAATATGTTGCATGTTGAGAGTGTGCGCTCAGCCTATCCTGTCCCATCCAATGTGAGATATAGAGCTGAGTGATATATGCTTTGAGTTTTGTGTGAACTTGGCAATATTGGCAAAAACTGGAAGTAATATCTGGAAGGAACTTTTTGTAGCTCTGTATTCAGTGAAATCTCTGCTTTCTTGGGTCAGCTGAGAAAATTAGTATCAGGTCTTGTTTGAATGACTTGGAGAGTTTCTGGTGTTGGTGTGTGCTTTAATAAGTACCACTTAATATTGGCAGTATGCTGCTTTATATGCAACTTTGAAGTTTACAGTTTACTGGGTAAAGGTGAGAGCCTAAAATCCAAGGTGTTCTAAATTATTCTGCACAGTTTTCAATATTGTAAGGTATTTCATGAGAGTACCAAAATATTTGGTTATTTCCATAATAATAATAATCAATTATCAAAGGCCATAATATAACAAGGATTATTGCTTTTTTATATTTCCTCAGAGAACAAAGTACATGTTCATATTCAGAGAGTATGATGGCCATTCCCCAGTACTGATATTCATTCATCTGCAGAACATTTAATTCAATTGAATGTAGTGTTTCTGCTTGTATATTTTCCTGCTGGAAATAATGTGCAACTCATCTTCACGTAATTGTTCAAAGAATGGTTTATGGTTTCAATGTAGGTGTTGTTCATAGTGCTACAAGAGGCTGGGTTCTCCTAACTTTTTGAAGGTGTGGGATTTGAGGTTTTACTTGTCGTCAAGGTTTATGAGTAGATTGTGGTCTTTCGCAGACCTAGATGGGATTTGGAGAAGTTATATGCTCAAAGACAAAGCGTGCAGGAGACCCTAGCCGCTCAGCGTGCTTTGACATGTATGTTTCGTCAAGGGATTTAAATCGTCTGCGGGGGTTCGATGTCTATGTATCGTCCAGCTGCACACCTATGTTATAACGCCCATAATAATTGATGGTTTTGCTATTGATTGTTAGATTTTTCGCTGGCCTGTTGTCAGAAGAACAATATATAATGAAACATGAGTTTAGCTGCATTAAGTCATCGTTACATATGCCTGTCTTGCAGCAAAATCGTGTTGCTCTTGGAAGAGATTTCCTCATTC